TAATTTTGTGCTCGGTTATCCGATCGTAGTGAAATTTTTTTTGATTCCGCATAATTTTTCGAGATCTTGCAAGCCGCAAACTGCCGGTCCCCCCTTCGTCCCGAAAAAACGTCGTTTGCTACCCCGAACGAGCCTTTTTTCGATTTCGTCAAACTTTGAACGATCATAACTTTGTGCTCCACAATCCGAAAATCGTGAATTTTTTTTTGATTTTGCATAACTTTTTGAGGACTCAATTTTTAGTGGAGAGAATTTTCAAAAAATGAATTATTTTGGATATATGGGCCTTTGGGAATAAGTTTACCTTCTCTTTTCAGGAATCCAAGTACATTCCGAAATTATGTCTCCTACTAAAAATTGTAGTCCTCAAAAAGTTATGCAAAATCAAAAAAAAATTCACGATTTTCGGATTGTGGAGCACAAAGTTATGATCGTTCAAAGTTTGACGAAATCGAAAAAAGGCTCGTTCGGGGTAGCAAACGACGTTTTTTCGGGACGAAGGGGGGACCAAACTGCCTTCGGCATTTTGCGGCTTGCAAGATCTCGAAAAATTATGCGGAATCAAAAAAAATTTCATCACGATCGGATAACCGAGCACAAAATTACGTTTTTTTAAAGATTTGACGCAGGTCAGGCATTCACCGTTTTCCTCTAACACGGTGATGCAATCACCGCCTTCCTCTACAGCGGTGATGCAATCACCGTGTTTCTCTAACGCGGTGATGCACTCACCGCTCTTCTTTAACGCGGTGAAGCAATCACCGCCTTAGTCAGACGCGGTGAAGGCCCAAACATGCATAGATTGGGAATTTTTTTCATAACATGTGTATTTTGAGAATTTTTTTAAAAAACATGTGTACAGTGGAATTTTTTCCCCCAGTTTGGACCAAATAGTTGCCCCTTGCTAGAAGGATGTAAATTCTTTGACAGAATCTGAGTGAACAATTAGAGTAGAACAACTAAAGTGGCAGAATTGACATAGATGTCAGAGGGGTCCAAGTTTACAAGATAAGAGTCAGAGATACCATTCCACAGAGAGGGAGATAGGTCAAGAATGTACAAGGGGTCTATAGATTCTTCAGTCAGCAATTCTAGCTTAAAGCAACTTTTCTTCACTTATAGGTTCTACCAGAGTCTTTAATCTTTATTCACTTGGTGCTTCATAGTTCTTCGAGCATTAGAGGATCCCGAATGTGTTCTCGCCACTATAGGTCATGTAAAGGAAGCCATCTTCATCCTTGTTCTCCTCGTAGATTGCAGACATCATGGCAGCTGTAAACAAGCTCCAGAGTCAGTAATCTGCAACAGTGATATTAATACAAGGAACAGATTTTGAGCCCAAAAAAATACAGCAAACATTTATCTCACCAGTTGGCGGTAGAATATTCTTCACAAAAATGAAAATGGCCTTCTCGGGACTCAGCTTGATCCTCTTCCGGACCACATAAACAAACTGTCCAACAGTCAGATCAGCAGGAACCAGGTATCTACAGTGGTCAAACCAAGTGACAATGTTAGTGCATGGAAGACGAGATAACAACAAAGGCTAATGACACCTTGTAGAAGCATATCATAGCATATTAACTAGTTGAATATAATATGCATTACATCTCGTCATCAGTATCCCGAGAATATGAGCACTTGGTACTTGTCTCCAGCTGGTATCCCTCCGGCACTTCATTATTAATCTTTGCTAGCTAAAACACTAGGGTTGTTTGCTTGAGGGTTTTGGTGATGGATTTGATCATGGAAATATATCCATCATGGACTTGAACCGAAATCCATCGTTTGCCTTAGGGAATTAGGGAGATGGAATTTGTGGGCCCCACCTCTTTTGGGGTTCCAAATCCGTGGACCCCACGGACTTGGAAGTTCCACCTCTTGAGGTGGTATTTGGGTGATGGATTAAAATCCATGATGGTAAATTACCTTTCTACCCTTAATTATTTCTTTAATTACAAATTTGTCCTACTTTAATTCAATGGTCATGCAACTGTAAACTTTTATAATTTCGTATTTTATAAATATGAGAATTTATCATTTCATTTTGTAATATCGTATTTTATTTAAATATGAATGTATATGTGATTTATTAGATTCACCTATAAACACATTATGCTCATCTTGTACATTATTATTTGATTGATTGTCGAATTCCACATCGGTGAGTTAGCAAGAAGATGATGAGTTGTAGCAATAAAGCGAGCAATTGGCTGCAATTGATACATAATATTGCGTACATTATTAGATGAATTGTTTATTAGTGCCAAATTGTAATACATTTCTATATTTGTAGTTGAATTATTAATCCACATAGTGGTAAAGAGTTTAAAATTTCTTTCTACGTTTTGGATTAGTTTTAAATGAAAGATTTGGATTATAATATAGAAATATAATTAAATAAGGGTAACTAGGTAATTTGTATTTAATATCCACAAATCTAATCAAACAAAGTCCATAATCAAATCCATCAAGCAAACAATAGACTTGTTCAAATCCATAATGCCACCAAATCCATCATATATCCATGGTTTTTCAAAACCCAGGTTTTACCAAAACCCTCATTTTTCAAATCCATGAAGCAAACCAGAAATCCCAACCTTACTATCTTACAAGTAAATCCTTCATCACAGTTTTGGTACTTGTCTCCAGTTGGTATCCCCTCAGCACTTCATTGTTAAATGTAAACTAAAAGTTACCAGAATCACGCATCTTACAAGCAAATCCTTCATCACAGTTTCGTTAGTGACCCAGGAAGACCAAACAAGTTATCACAAAACTATGTCCGAAATGCCTCAAACCCTCCAAACAAAGAACATAGAAGAAAGATATAAGCTCTAAATCACATTTTACAAGAGCGAAATCCTTCCAACAATACAAGAACAAATCCTTCCCAATAAGAATACCAGAAGCTTATTGAAAATGCAGATGCAATAACCATAGTTCATAGATTCAAATGTATACAAAGAGACTTACTTTTTCTTGTCAATGTCAGGGACATCACTCTTTTCAGCCCTCTCAACAATTACCTACAAAAATAAGCATAATCAATCACACCCACAGTTACTGAAGCCGCCCATGAAATCAGAAACTGCACATGATTAAGAAAGAAAGGACAGTAGATTGCATACCGGGATCCTGTCAGGGTACTTTTCCCTAATGCGTGCAGCTTCAGCCTGCCTCCTCTCTGCCCAATGCCCATGTTCAAGAACAACAAGCAGACTCTCAGTAACAGAAAATCGGTTAAACACAAGCATCCCAAGTCCTCAAGGAAACAGGAGAAGAGAACCATAGCAATATTTGGACAAACAAAAGGATGAAGCAGAATCACAGTCTCTGGATCCTAATTGCTGGACGAGGCGGGAGAACAGAAGAAAAGAAAACCACGAAAGCTATCTAATTCAACTTTCTCACACAATCAATCACCAAAATGGAACGCAATCTCAAATTAGGGTTCGTCGCGTTGATCAATAAACCCCCACATCCCCAATCTCCACCCAAAGATCAAGATAGTATAGAAAGAAGAGAGACAAACCGAGGGGATGTTCCAGCTTAAAAGAGCTCTTCGCCATTGCGAACACCTGAAACAGAATAACATAGTAAGTTTACCCATGCGAGAAAGTAAAACGAGACAGTTGATGAATCGGGCATAACGGAAGCAAACCCTGAAACTGCAGATCGGCAAACAGTTGAGATTGAGAGAGAAAGAGAGGCAATAGCAGGGTAGTTGAGATGACGGACGTGAAGAGAAAGTAAGGGAAAAGAAGTCGTCGACGGAAAAAGGGCGAAGTAGTGAAGTACCCTACCTGCAAGTTACGGAAGGAAGCTATGCCTTGGCTTAATGGCTGCTGTTATTTTTGCCTTTCGATAATTCCCCCTTCTCTTTTTGCGTTGGATATGATGTGCTGTTATACATAGTTTTGTCGCCATATTCGCAGGTTAAGTGCCGACGTAAACGCCAAGTTTTGCCGCAGCGTTCCTCGTCCGTTGCTTCATAGTCGTTTTGGGGAGAAGACCGCAAAAATAACATTACCCGATAAAGTGTACAAATTAAGTTCCTACTAAAAAAATTCATATGAAAATATATAACTACAAATTGAATTTGTAGCAAAAAGGTTAATGTATATGTTCATTTTGTACTAGTGGCGGATCCCGTATAGTATAAAGTATTGGATCACATTTGAAAAGAGGCGGAAAAAACTGGACTATAACTCGACAAGCATTGAAAAGAATATCTAAGCTCGAATATTTACAAGGGTTATACTAGCTCTGGATCCAGGGGAGGGCTGGGCCGTGACCCGGGGGCGGGCCACCTAAATCCGTCGTTGTTTTGTACTATAATAAAATTTGTATAAAAATGTATAGTACAAACTGAATGTGTATCATAAGGTTAAGAATACAAATTCAGTTTAACTATAACAAAAAAAAATTGTAAACAAAAGCACCAATACTTATAGTAACGGAGCTCTTTTCTTTCAGGCTACTCATTTAGTTACGACGAGGAATTTTTTTTTACAAAACAGTTTCATTAATAAGTATATGCATAAGGGACAAACTCTATGCCGGAACCAAAAAAATTTATATAGGATAAACTCTTTCAAAATTAAAATTAAAATTCCTAATGAAGAAATATCCGACCAATAAAAATTATAAGTGATATTTTCGTATTTTAAGAAAATTGTAAAACATTCGGTGTCAACAATACTCATAAATTTCTTTCGATATGGAAACCATTTTATTTGTGCTGGGAAAGGGGATGGTTTTGGTTTCAAAAATTAGCTTGTCTTTCATTTTCTTTCCTTTTGTTTACCAATTGCTTAATAATCTTCTTCGGATATGGAACCATCAATCTAGTCTTTGAAAATGGATCTCTTCCGCACACAATTCATCCTATCTTCCTCCAGATTTGGTTTCTGTTACTTGACATTCCCATCTAATTCGTTTTGCTTGCAAGAGCAACCAATAGAAGCACAAAAACTAAACCTAAAACGACCAAAAAATAGCGACCATGAGGTCATTACAACATACTTATTATTGCTAGCTTGAATAGCCACTTGCAATGAGAACTTACAACTTTCTGGCCTCACAAGCCAAGCCATCAAAAAAATAATGATTCTTTGTTGAACCAGATAGTTGCCAATTAGCCATTAGCAACAAGAAAACACTTATCTGCTGGTTTCTGATTCTCTATTCCCCTCTTGCTAAAATGGGGAACCTCCCACAAACCAGCTATTCTTCTAATCTCTACTACCTCTCTCTCTTTGCCAGGCTCCCTGGCTATGTATTGGGTGTGGTCTCTGAAATGTTCTTCTCTATATTCACATAGTTACAAGAACATGACATTCAAAACACACATTGGTCCCTTTCATCTTCCAGAGTCTCGAAAGATTTGTTCTTCTCTTCTCTGTCAGAATTTAGCAGTCCAAACAGCATTCGCACCTTCCCCACAACGCCGATGAACCTCCTTGATCCTGTCAGCTGACCTGCAGATCCCGCTGCAGGTCCAATCGAACGAGGCAATGCATATGTTGCCAGCTTGAGCCTTCCACTCACAGTCTTGAACCATAAAAACACAAGTCGAGAACTGTCAGCCTTAAGGAAAGGGTACATATACTATTACTTAGAGGGTCTTTGGTAAATGGGAGATCGTGAGGATGTGTATAATGATCCCAAGGAGGCATCCTCATTAGCAAAATTTGATGAGCCCTTACCAGGTGGAGTGCCACAGCATAATCTGCGATCATCGATGTGATCCACGTCGAGGCCAATGAACCATGATCCCAAGGAGACATCCTCATTAGCAAACTTATGCAGGACATGCCTGAAAAGTAGAAAAGGTTTCTTGTCAGCTAGTTTTGAGCTATGTTCCTTTAGATGATGAACAAACGCAGAGATAGAATGCTTACTGGTTTACTGAAATGTATGAAGCCAAGTCATGGGAGATGGCGTAGAGCTGCCCGGTGGCATGCCTGAAGTACTTGTTTCCAGCTTCCCCAAATTTCCAGTACTCAGGCTCATGGTACCTCACTCCCCTATTGAAGAAAGAAACAAAGAAAAAACACTCAGTTCTTTAGTTTCTCAGACTATGTAAATTACAAGCCTAATTTGGTTGCATTGTCCAAAAGTTTAGTTTTCTACTTACTTTTGATTAAGGACAGGACCAGATTTCATGCATCCAATGTACACCCTTGGTTTCTTCCTGTGCCTAACTAGAGTCTCTCCAAGTGTTGCTGGATCAAAAAACATCATACATATGAATAAAATCAACCCAAAATTAGCAAATAGCTCAATATATTGAGAAGATTTGCTTCCCATTTGAGTTACCTATATTAACATGTACATCGTCGTCCACTTTGACATAGAAATCTGCATCCCACAATGCAACAGCAGTAGCAAAGTAGATCTTTGTCTTTGCTGACAATTCAAGGTAACCCTCGACATGATCCTGCTTGCAGATAATTAGGAATCAGAAGGGGGAAAAATATATATTTGTGGTTATATGAAGCCTTTGGAGATGAACTGGTAAGAAAAAGGATTCTAGCTTCTGAATAATTACCAGCCTCAAGAAATCTCCATGCTTTTGGTCTTCTGCTTCAATGGCTCTATCCAAAATGCCTCCTGATGTAGCACTACAACCACACAAAAAGAAGAAGAAACCTTAAGTCAAATGTGGCATTTCAGACTGAAAAGATTCAATCTTTGGGATCTTTTATGAATTTGGATTAGCTGACCTGTGACCAATGACAAATCGGATGATGATACCCTTCTCTTCCTCCAGTTTCTTTCTCTTCTCACCTAGATTATTCACCCACACCATAGTCCTTTTAAGCAACCAAGTTCACCAAACTGAGAAAGTGAAGTTGAAGTTTAAGAATTCAGCAGGAAACTGAACCTGTAGGCATCCAAGTGGCACGAACAGAATCCCTTCTCTTCCTGCTGCTAAAAGCAGTATTGATCCCCACCACCATCAAGTACTTTCTCTTCCTCGACGAAGAACTCTTCTTCGAGTCCTCTGATTGAGGAGAGCCGCTGAGTATAGACTCTTGTGTTGCCTTTGCAGCAGCAAGCTCCATCTCTAAGCTTGAAATTGTCTTGTCCAATGTGCTGTACACATTCAACAATATTTAACACTCCAAGCTCAGTCTCATTATCAACCATGATGAGCAAATTATACTTGATGTGCATAAGCACTGGTACTTGGTAACTTACTGTATGGCATTGTGGGTTTTGTGAACTTCTCCATCTATGTCCTTAGAGTCTGGCAGCACTTCTTTCTGATGCAGCTAAAGTTTGACCAAAAACCAGGTTAGAGTATTGCAGAAACAACAATAACCAATATCAAGAACATTAGAAGATTACTCACAGCTATAGAGCCACAACCCTCAGAGATCAACTTCAGTTTTTCTGCTTCAATTGCAGTGGTTGTCCTTGTTAGACCTTTAGGTTCAGGGAGTGACCACAACCTGCAATTTCCCCACAAGCCCAATTCAGAAACGAAGTCAACAAGTCAATGCTAAGAGAAGATAGATAACCATTTAGATTCCAATAATTAGCTGCAAGAGGACAGCAATAATAAATTTGAGAGGCAATGGTAACAAGTAGTACAGATTTTAATCAATGTTTCTTTTGCAGACAGCAAAACAAAGAAACTAGACATATGTACTACCACTGCTACTACTACTACTGCCTGATGTCAGTTATAACTGAAACTAACAAAACCTTCCAAATTATAGTTGTGGGCACCATAGCTTTAGAACTGATCCAATCCAGTTCTGAATGCTCTTGAAAAAACAATACCATCTTAATGAATTGTTCACAAAACGAGAACCCAGAGGGAATTCGTACTGAAAATAGAAGATTAAGGAACCAAACGTGGATCCAAAATCAAAATGGAGCACAAGGATATGCTACTATTACTACTTCTACTAATAGTCTAGCAAAAACTTGCTATTGACCATTTTATTAATTTACATTTTTGATTCATCATTGCTGAAAGACACTGACTAGCAAATACCAAAACTTGAACCACCCAAGTCAATTTTTTAGAGAAAGTTTCCAACTTGAATTAGAAAAGAAGGAAAAAAGAAGGTAAGATTCAAAAGGGAGAAGGTAGCTACCTAATTTAGATATGGTTAGCTCACCTAAAAGAAAACCTAATGATAAGATGTAATAATCAAAGTGGCAGCAGTAATTAAGAAGCTCTGAGCTCAAACCCAGATTGCAGAAAATACAGATTGAATACCCAACTGATCCAATTCCGATCAAGAACAGCGGGGGTTTTTTTTCTTCTAGGGAGAAACCTCAGAAGCATCCAACCACGAAAAATTAAACCCTCAGAAGTAAACCGAGGCTGTAAAATTCGCGGGAAAAGCAGAAGGAACGGGAAATTGGTTGGAGGTTGTATGTATTTATTAATTTACCTGTTTGTGAAGAGCATTCCGCCGCAAAAACAAGCTAGGCAGAGGAAAAGCGTCCATTTCTGAGATACAGCAGAGCTCTTATTGGAAGCAGAGTACTGTTGCTCTGTTCTCAATTTGAATGACATTTTTTCTTCCTCCTGATCCGGGTATATCTATCTTACCTATCTAACGATTTCAATCAATTCCTACTCAAGGATCCCAGAATCTAGTCAAGAACAGAGAACCCATGTGGAGAATATGGCTAAATAAAACAGAGGGAACAAAAGTGAATCGAATAGATAGAAACAGAAATGGCCGGCAGTTAGTTGCTACTGAAATAGAGCAAGAGAGAGTGAAAGTGAGAGGTCTGGCTGTATGTCTGAAGTAGGAGAGTTTTCTGAAGAGGAATAAAGCTCGGAGGCTGAAAGGAGAGGAAGAAGAACAAGGGAAAAAACAGAGGAGAGGTTTTTGAGAGGGGATGGGGGTGGTGCTCTGTTTTCTAGCTTTATGAACTTGGTTCACGAATTTGTACTTTGTTCCCTTTACTTTTCTATCTCATTTGGTAGTTTGGTTTGTTTGTTCGGATTCCTTTATTCTTTTCTTTCTTTCTTTCTTTTGTCTATTTATTTATTTAATTAATTATGTCGACAAGTAAGGAAAATAAAATGCTAACTAATTTGGATTTTATGTTTTATGGTTTACAGGGAAGGAAGGGAACTTGGAAAGGGCCACAGGGGAAGAAAGAAAGAGTAGAGATGGAGAGAGGGAGACCCACTAACTAATTGCTCTGTTCAAGTCTAGGAAGGAAGGAATGGCATAATTACCAAATGCTCCTTTTTCAGAACCTTCTCAATTGTTTAATTGTCTTGCCCTTCACTTCACAGTTACAGAGTCTGCCGACCTCTGACATTAAAATTTTGCCTTTTTCTTAAACCAACCTCTTTGTCTTCGGTAACTTTCTTCGTGTCCTTTATTTACTTTTTCACTCACTCAAAATGTTAGTGGTTTTCAGTTTTCACTCGTTGTGTATTGTTGTTTAACAATTAACATGTGGGTTTTTGTTCACTTTAGGTGAATTCACAAAAATAAAATACTGAAAAGATTGGATGAAATTGAGAAATTCTTGTAAGAACTCTGAAATTAAATATGTTCACTATGAAATATTACAAAAATAGATGACCTTATTCAAAGTCATCTTGATATGCACCACAAGACAAAATTCAAATAGGTCACAATCCAAAATGGCAAATATCTTATTGTGAAAAGGTTTAGAATATTACAAAGGGTTTAAAAGCATAGTATGCCTAATGCATTGCATATAGAGTTTAGATGTACTATAAATCATATCTAAATTTTTTATAGAATAATAATTATTATTTATTAGTCAAACCATTTTCAGATTCTTTTTATCAGCTAAACCTAGTGAAATAATAAGAATTAGCCAAATGTAAATTTTTAGTTAGCAATTTTGTTAGTAATATTGACTTGGCAACAACGGGGGACACAGAAATTTTATCAAGAGCATTCAATAATAGACCAAAATCTATAAGGTTGTCAAATAATCCGAAGTCCAACTATTGGCATCACCAAAATAAAATTTTACACAAGATTTTAGTCCAGAATTTTGATTTAAGGTTTGTCAATTGACAACCCATTAGCTCACTTGGATGCGCCCCTGCTTGACAACATAATACCGACTTGAAAGAGACAAATAAAGGTCAATATTCTAAAATTTAAGTATTTTAACTAGAAAAATAGTTACAAAATTATTAACGATAACGTAAAAATGGGTAATATTTTGACGCGTTACAAAAGATTTGACTAATAAATAGCATTTTAATAGGTTTGGATAATATAAAAAAGGTTTAATACACTTGTATATCCAAAACTTTCATGGTTGTGCCTAGGGGTGGAAATCGGTACGGTATCGGTATCCCAATCCCAAATACCGAAATCCCGAATACCAAATTACACCCTAAAGTCAATCCCAATCCCTAAATAATTTCGGTATCCCAATCCCAATCCCTAAATATACCGGTATCCCAATCGGTACTTCGGTATCCCAATCGGTATTATCGAATACAAAATTAATTACCTTTACAATTAATAATTAAATATATAAATTAGATTTTATTGTTTAATTTAGGGAAAAAGACTAAGCAAAGAGTCTTGAATTAGGATATTATTAAGGAGAATGGATGAGAGGAGACATCTCAAGTTCTTGTCATTGGTAATCTTTAATTTGACGAATTGGAGGTTGACAAACGACTATTAATAGTGATGAAATGATCTATGTATAATTAAATGACACTTTTGGTGATTGAGGGTCGTATAGTAGTGAATGAGAGAGTCTAGTTGAGAGGATAAAATACACACTAGCTTATATTTCGGTATTGATCGGTATTTCGGTATATACCGATCCCAATCCCGTAATCCCTAATACCGAATAACAAATGAAATTCAATCCCAATCCCAATCCCAAAAAATAATTCGTGTATTCGGTAATACCAAATATAGACAAATTCGGCACGGTATTCGGTATATCCCAAATACCGGTACCAAACTTCTAGCCCTAGTTGTGCCAATAATATCCAAATTTCCCGAGATACCACTTATATCCATGTTTTAAAGTTGTTCTTTGCCAAACCTATCCATTTCCGTTAAATACTTTGATGGCGTTAATAACTCCGTCAACATAGCTGACGACAAGCTGATTGGGCGCCAACTAAGCAGACACGTAAGCGCCAACTATGCCAAAGGTGACACATAAGAAATTTAAAATAATTTAAAATAATTTCCCCAATTTTGACATTAGGGTTCTTCCCCAAAACGCCGATCGAGTAACACGCTGGGCAATCACAGCACCTAGCCTTCATCAAATGCACACTCAGATCACGAACGGATTAGGCATCTTCAATCCATTACCGTCACGCTCAGATCCAGCTCCGCTGTCGCACTTCCATTCTCACCGCCAGCGTTGGCTCAGTGACGCCATGAATGGTTGGTTTGGATGGTCAAGAGCTAGCTTCCGATGAAGATGAGCTCAGACAGAAGAGAGTAATGGAGGAGAATCGGGACTGGAGGAGAATCGCCAGCACACAAAGCTCAGTCTCCGCATCAATCGTCACTCAATCCCACATTAAATCGCGCACAATCCCTGAAACATCTGAGTCTTCCTCTCACAAGCCCAGTTTTGAGGTGAGATTGAGAGCCGAGAGAGATAGTGTCGGCGAGATTGAAGATGCAGGTCTAGGCTTTTGGAGGTCTTCGTCGCTTTGGGAGTAACAGAGTCTCCCCAAAGCTCCTGCATCGTCTTCAGGAAAGGGTAGTGGTTTACTGGCTTCATCATCGTCGTCGCGGCAGTACTAATTAACCCACAACCGCCGCGACCGCGGCTCCTCCTCCACCGCTGAGAATGTCGTCTTTGACAGAGATTTCCAGATCTAGGAATTGCCCACCAACACCCACACATCAATGCCAACATAGTGGCTTCAGCTCCTTCTTGAATCAAATCGACACAAAACCCACTCCCATCCCCATTTGTTCAATGAAGGAGAAGAAGATAGCTAGTGCTTAGTGGTGCTCGATTTTAGAACAGGGAAAAGAACACCCTTTGTCGAGTCCCTGCTAGTGGTTTCTCGAGTCCTTGATGTAGTGGAAGAACAAGGATAGGCCAGCATCAAACTCGAAATCGCAAACCCTCCCTCGTCTAGGCGAAGGAATGGTGGAGTTTTGGGTTCGACGAGGCGGAGAAGCGGCGGCGACGGCTGGTGGAGCTGAGTAATAATCACAGAGGGAAGGAGGGAGTGTGCGTTTGATAGGGACCTTTCATCTCCTTTTTTATTTTTTTATTTTACTTTTTATTTTTTAAACTTAATCCAGCGTGGAATTGTTGCTGGAGAAACTCGCCAACTCAGCATTTCCGTTTGTCCAATCAGCTTATTAGCTGACACCATTAAAGAATTCGACGGAAGTGGCTATAAGTGGTATTTCGTCAAATTTGGATATTATTGGCACAACCATGAAAGTTTTGGATATACAAGTGTATTTAACGTATAAAAAATCTAAAAAAATTAAATAAAAAATTTACATTACCTTTTTTATATGTTACTGAAATGAGGTCTATCGAGAAGAGAAGTCCAATTTAAGATTACAACCTAATATGTCCAGTTTAAAAGTGGCAAAAGAAAATAATCAATGGTATGGTTCAATAAAACTCTCATCGATGTAACTATACATTTTGTGGGTTATGATAGTGAATAAACAGAGATCAAGGAATCTGCCAGGTTTAATTAGTAATGTAAATAAGTTACATGTGCGAGTTCAATTTCCGTCATTCGCCAATAATTCTAAATCAGTAAAAAAAAAAGATGACAATCAATCAATTAGAGCTTGACCCTCTCCTTTAAAACGGAACATCCTGAATTGATAATTTGTCTAAATTGCCAGGAAGATTTAACATTTATACAGAAAATGTTCCAACTGTTCCATTTTGAACGATCATATAATATTATATGTTATAATTTTTAACAAAACGATTGTTCATATTCATCTCCTTCCGAAATTCCATTGAATCTGCCTCATCAAGCTTCCAGCTCGTTAAAAAAATAATAAACAATACATCTAACTCCAACTCGAACACCAAAATCTTATGCTACACCTGTGCAACAGAACTCGCCTTTAGATCGAAACACTTTTGTCAAGACGCATTTGCCTTATCCATCAATGAATAGAAGAGTTGTAGTCTTGTAGATAGGCTATAGTACTTTACCTCAACAAAACCTGACATCAGCTTTCACAATTACTGAGCTATCCTGGTAATTTAGAACCCCAATTTCCAGAAGATGAGGAAGATCCATATCGTTGACTTAATATAAAAATGAGAGGAGGATGGAAAAAATTAAAAGCAATGAATGGGTCATTTAAATAATACCGGTGGCGATGAAAACTGAAAACGACGTTTCAATCTCACCTCGCAGAAATGAGAAGAACAGCAAGATTCACCATTTTCACCTCCTTTTCCTCATCACCTTTTCCCCCAACCATTTTTCATTGCAATGCTCTTACGTATATTTCTGTTCTTCCCTTTTATTTTGTTGGATGCTTCAAACTTTCTGGTGGCATTAACATCACCAAAGCTATACCTTTAACAATTGAGGATCAAGATTCTGAGAACCCTCTCTTCTCTTTCCTTTCTGGGTGGTCCTCTTGGAAGGATTGGGATGATGAAATACCACCAGCTGATCACATGAGAACCCTTACAACATGAACCTAAGTGGAAAAGATTTAGGAAGAATGAGGAAAAACCAGAAAAAGGGGATAAATTACAGGAATGATCTATGAACTTTTGAGTTTTGTGGCAAAAAAATTTTAATACTAAGCTTTAAAATACCTAACATAACAATTTTTTCGTCCATTTGTATCGATATTTCTAATCAAATTATCCGGATTAGCAAGCAATCGGATTCATCCAAACTAATTATAAAAATGTCATGGAAGTGAAACCCTAAAACGAA